CCTGACCCAGGAGAGGCAGCCGGAGTCCCTGAGCTGGGCAGAGGCAGTGGCAGTTCCGGCCCAAGGCCACGCCCTGGTGCCCTGACACTCCCACCCATCTCCACGGTGACTGTGTTGGCACTGGCCATTTACACATCCACCCCCAGGAGAGACTGGGTTCCCCTCCTGTGTCTCCCCTTTGTCCAGCCCAAAGTAGGCCTGGGATAGAATCCATTCCCTCCCATGTCGGATGAAGAGGCATGCTGGAGGGAAGCTTGGCAGCGCACATGCAGCCCCGGCCACAGCCGCCCAGTGCCCGGACACCCGCTTGCCCCTACCTGGGTCGGCTCTTCCACGCTCTTGTTGAGGAAGTTGAGGGAACTGGCTCGCTTCATCCTGAGGGAAAAGGACAGCGTGGTATTTGCCCAAGGAGGAACTCAGGGGAGATGGGGGCAGGGAGCAGGGTGGGGCTGGGGAGGGAGCAGACTGGTGGGTGGTGGAGCCTGAGAGGGATGGGGAGGTTGCCTGGGGTCAGTGGGGCACACTCATGGGTCAGGAGCTCATCCGGGGTTGCTGGGTGGTTCCTGAGGCTCACCTTGGTGGGGGGCTCACCTGGGGTTAGGGGGCTCCTGGGGGCCGCCCCCCTGCAGCTTCTTTACTAGCATCTCACTGCTGCGCCTCAGGGCGTCTCGGAGCTTCCCAAAGGAGCCGCTGCGCCGCAAGGAGCCACTGCCATCCTGCGGGTGGACAGGCTCACCTCTAGGCCCCACTGGCCACCTAGGCTCCCGGCCCGGCCCCAGCCCCTGGACTCACCCCACTCCACTCAGCTGTAGGTCCTGCATCCTCGAGGTCAGACTCAGACCGGGGCCCGGCACCCCCGGCCACGTCTCGGCTGCCACGGCGGTCTCCCCGCCCGCCACTGCCATCTTTCAGCAGTTCCACCACCTTGGTCTGGCTTGCGGGGTCCAAACCCTGAGGGAGGGGCAGGGGCATCAGGGAGGGGCAGGGGCATCAGGCCGTGACTGGGCCACACTCAGGGCCACACAGGTGTCTGCCCACCCCCTCCTGCATGGAGCCCCACCTGCTTGCGGTTGCGGCTGGCACAGTCCTCCAGTGTGTGTGCGGCTTCCAGCTTGCCCTGGCGTCGGTATAGGGCCCCCAAGCTGCGCAGGGTGGTATTGACTGTGGGGCTGTGGATGGGACAGTCTCAAACTCCATGTTCCCCCAGACCCAGGGCCCGTCCTGGCACCCAGCCTATAGGGGGCCCTGAGGAAATAGGGACCTCTGGGGTAGCCAGAATCCATTCCCTCCCATGTCAAGCCCTGTGCTGGGCCCACCCAGCCTCTTCTGCCCTGGGGGAATCACGCCAGGGCTAGGGACCTGGCCCCAGGGCCCTCATGGGATGTTGTCACCAGGACCGAAAGCTGGGAGACCCGGAGCAAGATAATTAGGCTGAGAATTAGGAGACAGAGCCTTCTTGGGACAGGTGACCTGTGAGCTGGGCCTTGCCAGATGAGCGGCAGAGGAGGGGTGTGTTAGGAGTGAGAGTATGGAATGTGGAGACTGCCCTGCCATGCTCTGCTCCCCAGCCCCGCCCCGCCCCCCTCACCTGTCTACTTTACAGGCCTTGTACCAGCTGCCATATTCCCCATAGGGGGCGCTGTCCCGGCGCTTATCCTGGAAAAAGAATGGTCACACTAAGTGAGAGCAGGCCCCATTCTGCACATCCCCGCCTCCCCTGACAACCACCCAACCTGCCCCACAGAGCTACCTTGCTTTCCTCCCGCTCCTCTGCGTGCATCCAAATGGGCTTGTTGTCCCCTGGGGAGAGAAAGGAGACTGTCAGCGGCCTACCATATAGGCCTCACCTGGTTGGGCTGGACACAGGACTGGGGTCAGGGGAGGGGAGACCAGGGTTGGGCTTTGTTGAATGAATGAACAAGAATAAGACCCAAAACACTACTGACCCTCTTCTGGACAAAGAGATGAGCAGAACAGACCCTTACACCTCAGGCCACAGCCCAAGACATGTGCTAGGCCTGAATGATGGGCCAGGCTCCGAGGGACTCAGGAGCAGATGACAACTGACCATCCGGGGCCGGAGGTAGTTTCTCAGAGCGGGAGATGAGGTGAGCAGGAGTTGCCAGTGAAGAAGGGGGATGCAAAGGTGTGTGAGGCACTGGCAGGCCAAGGGGGCTGCATGAGTTGGGTGTATGCTCACATGTGCAAACGTGAGCACAGGTGGCTGGGCACCATCTGGGGGTGAAGCTGGGGACCAGCCAGGCCAAAGTCTGACGGCCTGCCCAGCTGAGGGATCTGTCCTGGGTGCTGATGGCAGAGTGGGCCTGGGATGGATTGGCCAGAGGCACATGGCAACCACACACTCACCATTGACAGAGCCAAACTCTTTCTCATGAGCGCGGGTGAGGATCTCCTTGTACAGGGTCTCTGCATCCTGGTACTTGCCCTGCTTCAGGTAGCAGGAAGCCTGGAAGTGGGAGACCCAGAGAGTGAACAGGATGCATGGAGCCAAGCCTTTTTCTCTCCTTCTTCCCCAGCGTCATCCCTGCCTCCCTCCTTTCCATCCTCCAGCCCCTTCCAGCCTCAAGGCACCAGGTTGTTCTTGGTCTTGGCTACATTGGGGTCATCGGGCCCGAGGCGTGTAGCATAGATCTCCAGCGCCCGCCGATAGTAGTATTCCACCTCCTCGGCTTTGCCCTGGTTCTGGCACAGCAGGGCCAGGTTGCTGAGCTGCTTGGCCACATCTGGGTGAAACTTGCCTAGCACCTGGGATGGGAGAGGAAGCCAGGGGTTGGGTTCAGGGCTGCCCGGGCCCCTGCCTCCCAGACCCCTGGCCTGCCCAGCCCTGCCTGCTCCCACCTTCTCTCGGATCTCCAGTGCCCGCTTGCACAACGGCTCAGCCTCCTTGTACTTGCCCCTCTTGCCATACAGGACCGCCAGGTTGTTTAGTGTCGCAGCCACCTGGAGGTGGGAGAATGGAAGCTCCTTGACCCAGGCCCTGCAGGACTCTGGGACCTGCAGGGGATGGGGCACAGCCCCCACCTCCCACCCAACCCTCACTCACGGCTGGGTGGTCCTTGCCCAGGGTTTTCTCCCGGATGGCCAGAGCATCATTGAGTAGGTGGGCAGCCTCCTTATACTTGTTCTGATCCCTGGGAGCAGGTGGGAGCATGGTCAGGGCTGTCCCCCAGCTCGAGGCCCTCCCCAGTGGCCTGCAGTCCCTGTGGTCACTCCTGTACTCAGTGAGTGAGTATGACAGAGTGGGACCCATAGTGTGGGGAGACCTGCTTAGCTCCTGCTCTCCGAGCTCCAGGGGCTGTGGGCAGTTTTCTCACAATTGGCTGGGGTGTGCGGTGCTGGACTCCCACTGACTGCCTGGTGCCTAGTATCCCTGGGCACCACATGGCTCTCCTGCTGCCCCTTTAGCGTGTCCCGCTCTCCAGGTCCCAGTGCCTTTGTTCATGCTGGCTTTTTGCCATGGGAACCTTTTCTAGCCTCTTGTGTTCAGCCAAACTCACTTTCTGGCAAAGCCCCTCCTCCAGCCTTAGTGCCTGGAGAAGCTGTGCAGACTCCCCAGGACCCCTGGAGTCCTCATGTGCAGTCCCTCCCCAGTTCTGGCGAAGCCTCTCTCCTATACTAGACAGCTTTACTCGCATCTGTAGCCCAGCTCCACACAGGTGGGCCCCGAGTCTGGGCCCACAGCAGGCACCAAAGGTTAGTGATCCAGGGCTGAAGCGTTCCGGAAGAATTTGGGCACCCCCAGAGAGTCCTCACCGATAGACCAGTGCCAGGATGTTCAGCATGGTGGCAACGTCAGGGTGGTCGTGGCCTGACGTCTTCTCCAGGTCTTCGAGTGCCTGCTTGCAGAGTGGCACAGCTACCTCATAGCGGCCCTGTGAGGCGTACTGGATCACCAGGTTGTGCAGGGTGCGGAGCCGGGCCGGGATCTCGTAGCCCCCATGCTGACCAGACACATCCCCTCCTCCTGGGCTAGGGGCTGCAGGGCCAAGGGCAGGAGGTCAGATGTACCATCTGCCCACTGGGCTGAGATGGTACATGCCAGCTGTGCCTTTGAGCCACTTGACACGTGGCCCTGGGCAAGTCACTAACCACTCTTTCTCAGTTACCCCATTTACACAGTGGGTCTAGTTACCCTATAGAAAGAGGGGGTAGAGGCCCAGCTCCAGTACTTAAGGCTCTGTGTAATGGGGCAAGTCGCCTAACCTCTGAGCCTGTGTCCCTGTGTACAGAGTGGAGGCCCCGATGCACGACCAGTACCATGAGCAAAGCAGGCACTGGTCCCAGTGTGGCTGTCTGCACATGCCTCCCTCAGAGGTGACTCGGAGGAGAAAAGAACTCTCCCAAGGGTCAGGGCAACTAGTGGCAGAGCAGCACTGGAAGCCAGGCTGGCGACTCCATAGCTCTTAACTGTGATGTCTGCTCGCCACAGAGCTGGGGGGATGTGAGAAGCAGCAGCACGTATGATTGTTCTTGAAGCTCTAACACGCTAGGATGTCATGATCAGAAGTGAGGCAGGAAGGAACATGGCAGCCACTTGGTCCCAAGGACCAAGAGTTCACACAACCTTTCCTTCCCCCACTCCAGAACTGCCCATCCGCACCTGGGCTCTGCTCATCCTCATTGGGGAACAGGTCATCCAGTGTGTCTTTGGGGACGTCCCCCTTCTCCTCCTGGGAAGGAAGACAGGATGAGCGTCAGGGAGGGAGACACAGGGCAGCCAGGGTGTCCGTGGGCTGGGGTGGAGCCGAATTTGCTCCATGCTGCCCCTCGCTGCTCCCAGGCCCCCTTGCTGGGCAACAGTGACCATGGTAGGAGCTCACGTTAGGGGAGGTGTCTTCATCCAACTTGCGGATCTGGCTCATGAACAGCAGGTGCTGCTTCTCCTCCTCCAGCTGGGCCACGGCCTGCTCACTGCGCTGCAGCTTCTGCTGCGTCCCCGCCAGCTCCTCACGCAGCCACTGGTTCTCCTGCACCAGGCGCCGCACCTGCGCCCGCAGCTTCTGCTTCTCTGATTCTACGGCCCCCAGGTGGCTCGACAGTGCCAAGATCACCTGTGCAACCAGCCCAGGTAAGGGTCGGAGCCCCATCGACCCCTCGCCTGTGACTGTAGCCTGGGCCTAGTTGGGCTGTGGGACCCAGTGAAGGGCCAGGCCTGGCCCTACAGTGAGGAGCTGTAGGCCTTTTCTCTCCTAGTCAAGGGAGAATCTCCTCAAGGCCTCAAACACACCATAGTGCAAAGCCCAAACCCAGGAGGCTTGGGAGTCCCCAGTTCCTTCCTTCTGGGATCAGGAGAACCCCAAAAGGGCTAGTTGGGGTGCTGTGCTTTCCCTGAGCTACTAGCCCCTTCCTTCATCTCTTCCTGGGTTGTACTCAGGCCCCTGCTGCCACAGCCACGAGGTTACTGCTCCCTGCCCCAGGGCTAGTGCTTGCCCACAGAACTCTGCTAGATGGCTGAAGGGCCACCCAAAGACTCCATCCCCACTTCTGCTGAGGGGGCCACAGCATCCCCTGCCTTTCTGCAGCTCTCAGGTAGGGAAGGGGCATGTATCCCAAATGCTCAGCTGGCGTGAGGAACCACAGGGGCAGGAAAAGTATCCAGAGGCCTTGACCTCAACCCCCACCCCTCTCCCCAGCCTCTATAACTCCTTTCCTGAGTTTCCAGTCTCTTCCTGCATTCCTGCCTAGGTTCCAACCTCCCTTCTTGCTCTCTCTCTTTTTTTTTTTTAATTTGAGACAGTGTCTCACTCTGTCACCTGGGCTGAAGGGCTATGGCACCGTCACAGCTCACTGCAGCTTCCACCTTCCAGGCCCAAGTGGTCCTTCCACCTCAGCCTCCTGAGTAACTGGGACTATGGGTGCACACCACCACACCTGGCTAATTTAAAAAAAATTTTTGGCCAGGTGCAGTGGCTCACGCCTGTAATCCTAGCACTTCGGGAGGCTGAGGTGGGCAGATCATGAGGTCAGAAGATTGAGACCATCCTGGCCAACATGGTGAAACCCCATCTCTACTAAAAATACAAAAATTAGCTGGGTGTGGTGGTGCGTGCCTGTAGTCCCAGCTACTCAGGAGGCTGAGGCAGAAGAATCGCTTGAACCTGGGAGGTGGAAGCTGCAGTGAATGGACACTGCACCACTATACTCCAGCCTGGGTAACACAGTGAGACTGTCTCAAATATAAATAAATGAAAATTAAAAATTTTTTCATAGATACGGGGTCTCATGAACTCCTGGATTTAAGCAATCTTCCTACCTGGGCCTCCCAAAGTGCTGGAATTACAGGCGTGCGCCACCACACCTGACCTCCACCCTTTCCTGGTCCTTCATGGTCCAGGGTCATTTCTGCAGTGGTGTCTCCAGCTAGTCACACCTCCCACTCTGCTCCAGCTTCACTCATGGCCTTGATGCCCATGCCCTCCATGCAGACTGTTCCCCCTCTGTGAGAGTGCATGTGCTCCACCAGGTGTGGGACCCCTGACTGGTCCTCTCTGCCTCTGATGGCCAACTGGCAGAGGAGTGAATGTCCTTGCAGAGGGCCAGGCCGTCTGAGACCCTGTACTTTACAGTTGGTTAGCAAATGCCTAAGTGACAGGTGTTTCCATAACCACTAGCTTAAAAAAAAAAATTCCCCCAACAGCCTGGAAGTATACACAGCAGATGGCATGATCCCTATTTTAAAGAAAAGGAAACCAAGATGATACAACCTCCCCAGGGTTCACGTGTCAGGCAGGGGTTCAGCCAAGCTCTGAGGAGAATAAAACAAGTCTAACTCCTTGCACATCCCAATGGCTCCTGGACATCTCCAATTGCGTATCATCCTGGCAGCCTCAACTAAAGGGGGCCAAAACAGAGTTCTGATCCACCCAGGCCCTCTCCTCCCTAATGTGCTTAAATCACAAACCTGGGAGTGATGCTGCCTTCCTCTCTCTCCCTTATTCCACCCTGGGTCTTCCTGGACCTACCTCCAGAACATCCAGAACTGGTCCCTTTTCTCCACCATCATAGCCACCCCTTAATTCCAAGCACCAGCTCTGATTTGAATTCCAGCAGTGGCTTCCTAACCACTCACTGGAGAGTGATTGCATCCTCGACCCACTGAGGTTTATTCTCCACATCTCAGCCAGAGAGAGTTTTTAGAAATTCAAGTCAGACTGTGTTGCCTGTCTGCTTAAAGCCCTCCAGAGGCTTTCTGACTTCCTGAGAATAAAACCCACACTAACGAGGCCATGATCTGGCTCTTGGCTTCTCCCCAGGCCTCTTCTGTCCCTCTCTCCCTTCCATGAAGCTCCAGTCACACAGTTCTTCCCTGAGTTCCTCCACCACAACTCCTACCCCAGGACCTTTGCACATGCAACTTCTCCCCTGCCTCCCTTTCCTGGAGACTGGTTCATTTCTTCCCTCAGGTTTCAGTTTGTCATTTCCTCACAGAAATCCTGCCTGACCAGTAGACAAGACTCACTGCTGTGAGCTATCATAAAATCTTGTTCTTTTCTTTGTAGAACTCATCACAATTTGTAACAACCAATTATTTCCTTATGTGTGCTTTTGTCTCTTTTCCAAATAGGGCAGGAATCCTGTCTATTTTGTTGGGTCCTGTATCCACCTAACGGCCTGGCTGGCACTGAAAAACTCATCTGTTAACGAATGAATAGAAGAATAAATCGGTGGGAGGTTGTGTTTCCTTAAGGATTTTCTTTCTGTTCTCATATGCCATCCAGTCTCCCTTAGGTAGAAGGGAGCTGGGAATGGGGCTCTGCGTGGGGGCGAGGGTGATCATGGTCTCTTACGGCAGGGCTGGGGTCGCCAAAGTGCATTTATTTCTTCAAAAGGTATTTACTGGGGTCCTAACACGGGGCTCCAGGAAACAGAAGATTCCTTGCTCATATTCTTCTCCTAGATTACTGGATTTCTCTGGAAGGCTCGATCCCTCCAGTGACCGCCCACCTCAGTACCCCAGACTGACCTACCTGGGCCTCCCCCAGCCCAAGCTCAATGGCTTCCAGGGAGCGACGCAGGAGGATGCAGCGCTCCTGCGAGCCAGGCTCGGCTTCGCCGGCCTCAGGCGCAACCAGAGGAGCCAGCAGGGCACGATGCTCCCCACGCAGAGTCTCCAGTCCCTGGATGACGGCCTTGGTGCCCAGCACGATCTCATCCTGGCTCAGCTTCTCCTCCCGCGGAAGCACCATCATGGCCATGGTTGTGGCGTCTGTGAGGACGAGGGTGCGGGCAGGCAGGCGCCGGGCCTGGGGCTACACCGCCCCAGATTAGGTAAACACAGGCGGTCCCCGGACGCCTGGTCCCGTGTGCCCAGGTCCCCCAGCCGGCAGCCCGTACCGTGCCCACGCTTGGCCTACAGAGGGCGCGCCCGGCTCGTCGTGGCCAGGGAGACGCAATGCGGTGCGGCCAGACCCTGCTTCGGCCCCAGACCACCGGCTTAGGCCGACTTAGGCGGCCCAGTGTCCGGGTTTCCCCGGGGACCCCCTAACCAGGACAGGTATGGGGAACGTGGGGGCTCACTCCTGTGCAGGAGACCCTGGTCCCTCCGGCGATCCGGGCCCAGCCCCTCGGACAGCCCCATCCCCAACCGGCAGGCCACGCCGCGGAGCCCATCCTCCCGACGGGCCGACCCTGCGGAGGCCATCCCCCCACAGGGGCTGAGACCGCGGCCCTCAGTCCTTCCAGGTTGTGCCCACTACGACCCCTCCCCTGGGCCAGCGCAACGTCCTGCGGCCTCCCCTAAAAAGGCCGCGCCCCTGCCCTGGGCCACCCGGGACCGCGCCCCCTACCAGGGCTGGTCAGATCCTCCCACAGGCCGCGCCCACGAAGACCCCCTCCCCTAGGCCGACCCGGAGCCTCCCCCTGCTTTAGGGCCTGATCCCGTCTCCCGGCCCAATCGGCCCGCGCCGACCTGCGCCTGGTGCTTGGGCCCGGCTCCGGCTCCGGCTCCGGCTGCCTCCCGCTTCACCCAGACCCGCAGCCGCGAGCCGGTCCCGCCGCCTCCATCCCGCCGGCCTTCCCAGCAGCCCCCGCGCCGCCTTAAAGGTGAAGCCGCTACCTCGGTGGCGTCGGAGGGGGCGAAACACGCTTCTCACGGCCAGCTCGCTGCCTTAAAGGAGCGCGGGCCGGGCCGGCTCCAGCGGGAGGGGGACGGGGCGGGGCCATCGAGGCGGGGGCGGGGCGAGGACCCGCCCGGGGCGCAGTTTCCAGGGGCCCGCCAGCCCCGAGGGGTGCCCTCGGCCTCAAAATGGCCCGGGTCCTCAGGGTGTGGAGCTGCTCGGGAGATTGAACCCTAAGGTACCTAGTGTGGCGCCATCGAGGACGGCGGGAGAAACTGAGGCGCAGGGAGAAGGTTGGGCTTCCCGGAGTACAGAGCGAGGCATTTGCCACTAATTGAGCGCCTACTGCGTGTTGCGCGCTTTGGTGCCCTGGGTTCATTGACTTAATGCTCACGAAGACCCGAGAAGTGAGTGCCGCTGTTACCTGGCTCGCAGATCTGACCCCGGGCTTCGGATCCCGGGGTCACATCTGGTGGGGGACGCACTATCTCTGACAGAGGTGGTTCAGCGCCCTTAGCTCAAGCACATCCGGTGACAGGGAGCTTACTACGTTCGGCTCTGAGACAACTCCAAAGGTTAGCAAAATTTTCCTTGTATAGACCTCGAAGTGCCTTCCTGCAGTGCTCATCCACAGCCCTAGCTCTGTCTTCAGAAAGAAAGCTGCTCCCTTATGTCAGTTAAGGTATTTGGAGACAGCGATGGTGCCCCGCGTGGTCTCATCTCTTCCCCGGGCTGCTCCTGGTCCCTTCACTCAGTCCTACCGCAGTTTCCTGACCCTTCCTCATCCCAATTTCTCCTTTCTGGGTGTAGTCTAGCTTGTCGGTCCTGCTCAGAAGGTGGTGCTCAACCCAGGGCCCAGTGATCAGAGACGAGGAATGAACTGCGCAGATCAGAGGGACGGTACCCCCAGGATGCCACCTGTCCACAAAAAAAGCCGCAAACCAGGCTGCCTTTTACACAAGTGAAGACCCTCTATTTTACACATCTCAGTTACATCCAACCAGGTTCTTCTCAAACCTGTTCTCTGCCAATGATTTTTTTTTAAGAGAGGTTCTGGTCCAGGCGCGGTGGCTCACGCCTGTAGCCCCAGCACTTCGGGAGGCTGAGGCGGGCGGATCACGAGGTCAGGAGATAGAGACCATCCTGGCTAACACGGTGAAACCCCGTCTCTACTAAAAAATACAAAAAATTAGCTGGACGTGGTGGCTGGCGCCTGTACAGTACCCAGGCTACTTGGGAGGGGCTGAGGCAGAGAGAATTCGCTTGAACCCAGGGGCGGAGTTGCACGTGAGCAGGGATCGCGCCCCCGCACTCTGGGGCGACAGAGGGGGAGACTCCGTCTCAAAAAAAAAAAAAAAAAAAAAAAAAAAAAAAAAAAAAAAAGATTCTTTACATTTATAAAAGTTACTTTATAAAAAATGGTTCTTACTTTTATCGTTCCAAGCTGGCGTGCAGTGGTTGATCCATAGCTCAGGTAAACCCTTCAAACGTCTTTGTTTTCTTTTTGATGATGGAGTCTGTTCCCAGGCTGGAGTGCAGACGGATGATCTTGGCTC